AGTTGTTAAAAATATTAAAAAAAAAATGTCAGTAATTGAAAATAACACCAGCTTCAAAATGGTAAAACAAAAATTATATCATATCAATTATATAATACTCCCCGATAATTTCGGTAGCAATACAAAACAAATTTTTACAGATAAAAGACACAATATCCTTTTGGGAAATTTTAAAATAGATTTAGTTAACAATTGTATTTATAACTCCAAAAATAGTTTGCTAATTTTCGAATTTTATGTTTTACAAGCTACTATTACCTGAATCTACCAATGTTTTTTTTTTATAATCGCATATTTTAAATTTTATATTTAGCAATTTGCTATGTAAGTATCTATGTATCTATGAAAAAAAAAACTTTTATCTGTTTTTTTTTTTAATTTTTTTTAAAGAAACTTCCACAGGCTACTGTAATAACGTTTCAGTCAATCTCTGAAGATGCCAACCAGATGATTGGCGAAAGATTAGCAGAAGTTTAGTAAAAAAAAACTTTTATTGTCTTAATTTTTCATATAATAAAAATGCATATTTGCATTTTGTGTTCATTTCGATCAGTATATTCTAAAAATTATAGTTGCATAAGTTTTTCAATCTTTTCAAAAAGAAAATTGTGCTTTTTATCTATAACCCTGTGTTTAAAAATGGAAAAACTTCGCTCAACATCTACAGATGTTATCGAGCAGTATTTTAGTTTTGGAATTAAGTGTGTTAGTAATTTAAACAGATCCATTTCTCTTTCCAAATTAGCGAAATTGCCTATAAAAACTTGGGAAATATGTTGTAGGATATAACAGTACCTGAATTTTTACTTACCACACATATTATTCTAAAGTCTTAACACTTTTTGGCTCTGATTTTTTTACGTAATTTATACAGGGTACATACGATATTTGTGGACAAATTTTAAAATTTAGACTCTTAGACTACATAATAAATAATTAACGGACCCAGTCCGAGATCGTTATTTCTTTATGGTTATTATAGCATCCTGAGCGATGAAATAGTGTTATGGGGATGCTTATTGGTCTCTCGCTCAATTGCGTCTCGTACGTAATAATCAAGAGGATTAAGATCCGGGGAGCTAGGTGGGATGATGTGGTCATAAAAATTTTCGGCCATCCAATCTTGTGTCTTGTCTCTGATTCCGACATAAACTGTCCTCTACGCATAACGTACGATATATGGCGTGGACAACACGACGGATTAGACCTCAGAAACATTAGGGTCCCTCGCAATGGCCCTCATGGGCTTTGAAGGGATTTCGTGAACGATCTCTTGCACTTGTTGGACAAATTGGGTATTTCTAGTTGTGTCCGAAAATGCCTCACGTGTTTTGCGTTTTGCAAAAGTTTCTACATCGCCAGGTGATGCATCCAATTTACGACGAACCGTATGTATGAATGATCCGGCGAAGTTGAGAAATTTGGAGAATTCTAAACCAATGTGTTATTGTCCTCCATTGATGATCTAAGAAAAAAATGTTCTCCATAAATTACAATTATATATTGATGTCCTTAAATACCGTACGGAACTTGTTAATATTTTTAACTTTTCCATGTGTGTTTCAGTCAGCTTTATTAGTTATAGGTTTTCCCTATATTTTTAACTTTTCCATGTGTGTTTCAGTCAGCTTTATTAGTTATAGGTTTTCCCTCGTCATTCGTTTCCCTCATTGACTAAATGGACATCGTTAAGACCTATCGAAATAATTTATATGGAAAACTTTCCCGGATTTTCTAAAACTCGATCGCGTCTGGTTTAACGAACCGATTATAATGTAAAAATAACTGACGCGCTCATTTCCCAAAGCAAAGAGTTTTTAAAATTAAAGCGACCGTTTAACGACCGGCGTAAAATTAACACCTCGTCCCATATATATTATTTTGACTTTTACACGCGTTGGCGGCGTCAAATAATTTCCAGAAGTAGCGCGCGACAATCTTTTTTGCACCTATTTAGTTTTATTGGTTATATCCGACGCGTTAAAACGCGTTCCCCGAAAATGTTTAAGTAAATCCGTTCGATATGACGCTGGCTGTTATTATCACAATAAATCATGCAAGTCATTCATGCGTTACCGTAAATTCATAAATTTCCAATTTTTATCGAATCGTGGATTATTTTAATTATCCTCTTATCTAGCTTCAATTTTCAAATGAGCATTTTCAAGAAACTCAGTTGGGAATGGGTAAATGCGAGGAATTTTTCGTGAAATTGAAGATAAATATTATTATCATTAGCAAGTAAATTGTGCATTTGCTCTGAATTTTTAAACCATTTTAACTGAAATTTATAGCGGATTTAAATTTTTGTAATGTAACACTTTGTATGTTATTTTAGAATCGGTTTTAAGTACAAAAGTTTTTCATTCAACGCTCCAGGCATTTGCAAAAGAGTACCTTACGTGTGCGTCGCAAGCCGCGCCTTTTTGAGTTATAATTAAAACCCTACTTAGTCAGTCGACATTTATATATCACAATTGATATATTGTGTTGCCATTTTGATATATTTTTTAATAGCTATCAACAAAACTAAAATTTTTCATTACTATTATTGGTTACATAATACTAATATAATATACTGGATATAACAATATTAAATGAATGTTAAATGTTAAACTAACTACTCACCACTCCACGCTCTCCTTTATTTCAATACTGCTTCAATTTGTTTTAATTATTTGAAGTGACTATTTTTCCAGAAGTGCAGCAACAAATTCATTTAAAAATCCGGTATTAAATTTGAAGAAAAATGCCCGCACACGTCCATCATAATTTCTTTTGCGCATTTTTTGCAGCAAACGAAGCACATACAGGGTGGATCAAAAATTAGGTGCCGATACCAATTTATAGCGTTATACGCCTTGCAATGCCCGTTCTCCATTTCAGTCAATCGACTCATTCTCATTCAGGAATTTTTTACTCCTTAACCTCAATTCTTTCCTGGCCGTCCTCTTTCCTTTCTCCGCCGTGTAGTCTTTCTCTAAACATATCCAAAATATTTTAGTTGTTTTTGCTCTATGTCCTCTGTGACTTTGATATTTGACTTTGACTTTTTCATTCCTGTCTGTCTTATATAGTAATCTGTTTTATGTTCTAATCTTTATATATTAGCTGATCTCCATATAGCTTCCATTTCAGTCAACAATATTCTCCTTTTGTTGTTTTCGGTCATTGCTATAAGTTAAAACACATTTTATCATGGAGTTATATATGGGAATTTTACTGTTCTTTGTTAAATTTCTTGACCACACAATCTCGTTTAATGCTCCTATGATGTATCGACTCTGACGGTGATCCTCCCAGATATTTGTATTCATGTACTACCTTGACAGTTTGTTGACGTTAATGTTGTCATCAAGTTCCAGAACTCCAATTTTTTGCTCCGATACTCATGTACTTGGTTTTGCCAATGTCCAGCTTAAAGCCCCATTTATTGTATTCTTCTCTTCACTCGCTGGCCATATACTCTACATCTTCTTTACATTGTACTATCTTTACTTGATCATCATCGAATTATAAGATGAACATAGTTGTATTATTGATGTGGGTTTTTAATGCGTTTATTTTATTTTTTTTTGTAATGTGTATATTTAAACAACGTAGGTGAGATGCAGCAGTCTTGTAGGATGAGTCTTTTGTCTACTATGAATCTTTTTGCCGCTCTTGAACCACTCTTGTAAGAGTGGTGTGTTCTTGACAATATAGGTTAAAGAACCCCTCCAAAACGTTTCTGGTTGTATTTTCATTAATTTGCTTTAAACTGTATTTAATATTAAGTTTAAAATCAACTAGATTTTGGATTTTTTCTTATACACCAAAGGAAAAAATCCAGGGGAGTACTATCTGGAGATCTTGCAGTCCATTCTATTGCTCCCCCTCTACCAACCCGCTGTCTGGGAAATACCCGCACTTGTGAAGCAAAATGGGGGCAAAACCAAATCTGACTGTCTAACTATCATGGCTCTGGAAAGGAATCTGCGAGAGTAGAAATCAAATAATTTAGAAAAATTATTTGAAGAAAAAAAATTTCGCTCATCCTTTTAAATAAAACTTGGCTTCATGATTAAACAGTATCTGGCGATGAAAAAATAGAGTGCATCTGCATTTTTTTTTACATTCTCCACAACAGGCCTTAAGAGAATTAGTTTCACTTACATCCTGTACCCCATAACTTTCTCACAACAAAGAACATTGATATTTGCATTGTTTGTATTTTATTGCTTTTTTGGATTAAGGGGAAAAGATTTCTTTTTGTAAATTAAATAAAAAATACATTTTTTCGTCATTACAAATTAAATTTTACGTATGCCAGACACCAATTTCACCTCATTTTATGCGTCAACATCAATATAGATTTTTAATACAGCGGGTACTATTTATGGCATACTCTATATATATTATTCATTTATCATCTACACTTCAAAATATAGGATTTTCAGATTTGCAGATTTCCGTCATAGTTCAGGGATGATACTTTTCTTCCTGTAATACCCGCTTAGCTGCTCGTTGGCTAACATCATTAACATCAAGAATAAAGGATTTATCCTTAACTTCTTTAATCGATTTGTGATTAATGATCCATGAATTATATATTTTCTGTTTACTGTCAAAATAGGCAAGAAAAAATTAAAAAAATTACATGTGCGAGCATGTGTCTTAAAATGTAATATATTTCTCACCTTACTAGATTTGCCTTGTTCAAAAAAGTTGCAGTTAGATTTGTAATTGTTTATATGATAATTCATTTCAGACGGAGTTACTTAATGTTGCTTTGTAATTAAAGTAATTAAACAATGCTGAATCAAAATTGAAGTGCCGAAGAAAAACAAATTCTTTTACTTTATATCATATTTTTGCAATTTAAATATTGTTTAAATGTTCGGTAGCATCCGGGAAAGCAGTTCTCGGGTCATTTCGGCATTCGCAAACTGCGCGTTGGTGTATTTTTGATGCAGTGCCGTTACTAGGAACCGAATGGAATAAAAACAAGTCCATTTTACCGTATGTCAGGGGCGCACGTCAACAATAAGCAAGAGCGAATCACTCATCGTCTCGCACATCAATTTTCCATCCTACATGGCACTTCCCTCAGCTACTAGGGTCACAATCACCGACGAATTAAGGCGAATAACGACGCGACGAGGAGATATAACGTTTCCACGAGCGTTTTCCCACAAATCCCGCGCGTCGACTGGGTATTTTCGTATCTGGTGTCGGTATATACGCTGCCTGCGTCTTTTAATATATGGCGCTTGCTATAAAGCAATAAAACATCTTAGCTGTCCCGATTAGCGGATTAACAATTACAGAAAATGTATAGGTGATAATAGTGCAATCTTTTAAACTTCACGGGTTTTTTATTTTGAGTTTCATATCGCGAAAAAAGTTGAATGTATCGTGCGTTCAATTGATCTTGATAACATATTAATTGTCTGTAACTTTTTTTGTTTTTATAGATGTCATAGTAAACAAAAAAATAAAATGTTTTTTTCCAATTGCTATAAGTATAAAACAAAACACTATCAATTTTGTGATATATAAGCCTGCATCACATATTTTTTTGTATTTTTGTCCATTCGTTTTTGACAAATAGGCAAAAATTTACAAGTTGAAGTAGAATAAAATCACTAAAAATGACAAGACACACCAAAGTAAGTAAAAAATATGGCTAGTTGGTTCAAAGGGTGTTATAGGCCGCATCAAGAGCTACAATTTTTGTATTTGCGGTTTTCGTCTATCAAATACGCTGCTCGGGATATTTGAAAAAATCCATATTGGAATCGTTATTTCGGGGGCTGTCAAGACGCGATGATTATTACGGCGCGCAGCATGGTTTCAGAAAAAACTTATTTTCTCGAAAACCGTTTACTATTTTCAAAAAATTCTTGAACCAGGAAACGTGGAAAATCCAGGGCTCTAACCTCTACTTCGAACAATGATTGAATCATATACAGGGTGTATTTATTGGCAAAAAATCAAAAATATTCTAAACATTTCCGTTTTTGTGAGTAAATTATTGGCGATAAATGAAAAACCATTAAAGATGGGATAATTTTATTTGAACGGTATCGTAAACCTTGTCGTGAGAAAGTTTCAGGTTTCGTCGCTATTATTTTTGTAAATTTTAATATTTACCGATGTTTGCTGTAACTTTGATGTTCGACAAGATGTGAAGGACATTTTATACAGGGAAAACCGCGAAGTTTTTCCTTTTATAATTAAAAGCTGCTTCGCGCTACGAATTTGCTCCGCCCGGTGACGATTTTTCGAAAGCAATCTTGTTTTATTTCCTTCAGTAGTACGTATATTTCTTCATCCACATTCTTGGCCCCCCCTGAGTGATGTTCGATTTATTTTCTTGCTCGTCTCAAAAAATCCTTTTGTTTTCTCTATGTCATTTCCTTCTACTATATTCATCCGTGGAGCACTCGTCGCTTTCGTTCTCTTTATCAGCCTTTCCTTGAATTTACCAAATCCAATATAATGTTACTTTTTCTTCCGTTTGACAACGTCGCCGCCGGTTTGATTCACAATTCTTATCCCTTTCACCTCATTACTTTTCTGGCTGTATAAAAGTATATTTCACCGATTTCACATTACAAAGTTCGAAAAATCGAAATTACCGTTGCCAACGTATATAAAATTCCATGTGAAAATTCAATTGGCCTGTGGTTTTACAATACGGGCAACTTTTGAGCAGAATATTAACGAATCAAGAGAAAAACGTTGGCGGCATAAATAATGCCACCCCCTCCGTCGGGGGCTGCGAAAGACATTTTCAATTTCTTCGGCATTAACTCCTGAATAAACACCAAATTCGGATATGCGGGGACGTAATTTGAAAAAGCGGAGGAACTTCGTTCCGCGACGAACAATGTTGCCTCGAAAATATGGCGGCGAACTTAATAATTCACATTAAAAGCTCGGTTCTGGAAGGAAGAGGGAGAGCGAGAGAGCTAGGGAAACGGGTGAAGAGGACGAGCGTATAAGACGGACAGCGCGAGGGCCGTTGAAGCTGCCAACCTTTGTGATGTTTTCTAAGCTACTTTGGTGGAGAGAGGGGATTATATTAAAACCCGTTGCGAAAGGCAAAACACACACAACTTTCAGTGTACGCCACGTTTAATTTTTAACGACTTCTATACGTTCGACGGTCAACTATTATCGAGCTGGTAAAAGAGGCTGGGATTGAGATTTACGACACATCGCCTCGAACTGTTTGATCTCACCGCCGCAATGGGGAAACTGTGTTTTATACAAACGGTACAATAATGTACAGGGTGACCCGTTTATGAGGGACCATCGCATTATCTCAGGAACCATACGAGATGGAACAAACCTTAAATGCAAAGGTTTTTTTTATTTTCATATACACAGGGGGACTTGTTTAGCCCTGGCCACTACCAACTATTTAATTTCAAATAGAACACCATATTAATACTCAGGAAGGAGGAGGGAGGAAGAAGGTGAATTCCGACGATGTATAACACTATGGGGTTTGAACGCAACGTTAGATCTTCCTTCTCGACGAGATATTAAAACTTAAGTTATTTCAATTTTAATTCAATTCCCTTTTTTTTGTTTCAAATGAAAACTCCCATTTATTATGCTACAAATCCCCGTTTCTGAATAATTGGTCACCATCTTCAGTACAAAGCCTATTCTCCAAGCAAGCAAATTTTGGAGGAACTCCTGTAGAAAAATATGCTATCTATAGGGTTGAAGTATTAGTAATACCGTGAAAAACAGATAACATATACAACGGAACTTACAATTGCATTTTGAACAAACTCAGTTTCATTTAGATACTGCATACCTTCACGAATTTAGTCACTGAGTTCCTCGGAAATGTCTGGTTTATACTCTTTAAGGTCTTTAAGAGTATCCCATAAAAAGTGCAGTAGAGATAGGTCTGGGCTCCTTGGGGGCTAAGGATGATCACCGTGTTGACCAATCCATTCCCTACACCCTGTATTTAAATAGTTTTCCATGGCAAGACTATAGTGGTAAGGAGCATCATCTTGCTACCAAATTAAATTTTCTCATTTTTCCGCTGGTATAGAATCACCCATTACCCCAACGTAGCGTTAAGAATTTAAATCATTTTCAAAAAACATTGGACCTACAATTTTGTTTTTCCAAATCACACACCACTACTTCACTGAAACGAATATTTTAAGTGAAGAACTCAGTCCAAATAATGACATTAAAATGTCGCTATTAAAGTTTCCGCAAAGGCAAAAACTTGTAGGGTTTCCATTTATAAATCCGAAGGCAAGATTGCAGCCTTGCTTTTTTAATATTGAAATTCAAAGATGCTTGCTGGGTGACTGTTTCATCTTCAAAGTGCAATAGAATATGTAGCTGCTTTTGTTCTCTAAGTATCTAACGATTACTTTTTTTGTTAATGTAGGCTACCCTCCCTCCAAATCTGGAGGTAGATTTTGTAAAATGTGTTTTTCGATGGAATTTAGAAATTTATTCACATAATTTCAAAAAGGTTGACGTTTATTACTTAATAAATAACATTCTGCAATATCAAATTTTTCTCTCCTAGTAAATATTATGAACAAAAAAAAAGTAAAGTAAAAAAAGAAAAATAATTAATAATGTAAGAAAATGTCAAAATTACTTTCTAGTATAAGAACAATTAATTATTGTGATCAGGGCCTACTATTGAAGAATTTATAGCTATTGGAGAATTGAGGCTGCATTCTACAGGACGTTTCAAAATTCGTTTCAGATATTTTAAGCGTATTTTTCATTTATAAAGTCGGCTTAGTATTGAAGATGATGACCAGCAATTCAGAAATGGTGATGTGTAGACCTCTTATACATCGTTAAATTCGCCTTTGAGTGGTCTTAGACAGAGCATAATGTACATAAAAATTGAGAACCCTGATAAAACGCCAAGTATGGCATCACTGTCAGATATTTTTCATTTAAAAATGTAAGTTTTAGAAAACAAGTAAACGAACAGCGTACATCTTTTATGCCTAATCAGCTTAAATATCGGGCCAATAATGGAAATTACTGTCAATAACTCCGAAACGTTGCTTTCAAACCTCATACTGTTATACATCGTCCATCTTCCCTTTCGAAGGTCTAATTAAATCAGTTATAAATATACATGGTGCTCCTTTTAAAATAAAAAAGTAGATATGGGCTACGGCGAAACAGGCCACCCTGTGTACATGAAAATATAATAAATGAAAAGTCTAAAATAACCCAACCAACTTTTGTATTTAAGTTTTTGTTCAATCACTTCTGGTTCCTAAGATAAAGTAATGGTGCCTCATAAATGAGCCACCCTGTACATATCATTGTTTGAAATAATTATTAAATAACTCCGAGATAAAATGATTTCTAAAACTTTTTTCCTTTCCATTTCATAAATTATGATTTTCCATGTTTTACTACTAGACGTCAATGATTAATAACGTCAGTTGGTCTCCATCAATTGATTAATGAAGGAGTAAACATACTTTTTTGTGAAAAAGTAAAAAAGTGAAGTAAAGTAAGAAGAAGAAGTTAAGAGATGTACACAATTAGAAAATATTTGTCAATGGTTCGATTGTGATAAAGAGAAAATTGTTGGATAGATCTCTCCAAAATGCTATTTATTGTTTGCCAATTCTTATTCAGGACTACATAGAAGCTCATTATACTAATTTCCATGTTTAATTAAGGCTCAATTTTGATAATTGTCTTTTGATGGATCGATCTTACTAAAAGGCAATGAAACAGTTTTTTTCATATGGCTACTATTAGTAGTTTCTTGAAGCGTAAAATCGAGACATGCTATTAGAAATTTTTTCAAATTGAAATTGAACAAATTCGTATTCAGGGTTATCTTTCCGAATTTTATCATTCATACTTCAGAGAATAGTATTTACATTATAAATTTCGAACAATATAGATTTATTTATTAAGCTGTTGTTTTACGACGATAATAAACATAAATGTCCCTAAAAAATGTTTGATGACCTTTATTATTAATTTTAAAACTTGTAAAATTAAATTTGTTTGAGGATCTTAAAATCACACACAAAATAATCGTTATTCATAAGGTAAATAATTATTTTTTGAAAACAATAACAATGCATCTGCAACTCGGAGGACCGAACCCCTCCTCAGGACAGGACAGGAATATTTCTGCGAACATTTC